GAAGTTATTACCCAATGTTTACACATCTCCCCAGAACACCTGACTTGACGACATACAAGCAGTTACAGCAATTATTCTCGCTCACTGTCTAAGAGGATCCTGGGTTGGGATCGAAATAAAGTCTACATAAATATTTACACAAGTATATCTGTGCGTATATATATATGTTGAATATGACCGAAAGGGTAAGATTAATAATTCTAACACGAATCTTCTCAATATTTCTTACGTTTTTCTTCACTGTCGCGAGTAATTGAAAAATTAACTCTCCAAAATTCAGTTTTTACATTTTTATTTGGTCTGACGCCTAAAAGCATTTCATAAGGGCTTCTTACATTCTCAAAGACTGGTTTACACATAACAAATATCATGCTTATTTGCGTTTTGGGTGAGGTGATATGACACAAATGTTTTGGGTGAGGTGGGTATAAATTGGGTATGAAAACATAAGAATGAAAGTAACTACAGGTCTATTGGCCCATACTTTCTCTTGCTGCTTCTATGTTGGTTTGGGGTTTTGAAGTGGGTAGAATATAGTTATGCGTTAATTGGCTGTTGATTGCTGGTGTTGACTTTTTATGTGTAGTGCCTCGCTGATGTCGAGTCTCCTGCTATCGCTGTATCTGTCGATGATTTCTGTGTTGCTTGTTAAGATTTCTCTGATGATGGTCTGGTTGTAAGAAGAGATTATATGTTCCTTGATGGAGCCCTGTTGTTTGTGCATTGTTAATCGCCTAGAAAGAGACATTGTTGTCTTGCCTATATACTGAGTTCTTTGGGGCTTACAGTGCCCAAGTGGGCATGTGAAGGTATAATAAACGACGTTGGTTTCCTTCAAGGCGTTCTGTTTGGTGTCTGGAGAGTTTATCATGAGTAGGTTGGCCGTTTTTTTGTTTTTGTAGTAAAGTGTCAATTGTATTTTCTGATTTTTGTCTGTAGGTATGACGTTCCTATTAATAATGTCTTTCAGAACACTTTCCTCCGTTTTATGAGCCATTGAAAAGAAGTTCCTGTAAAACAGTGTAATAGGTGGTACTTATGTTGTGTTAGTTGACTCTTCAGAGGTTGCATGGCGTTTCACCTTTCTTTTTATGACGTCTTCAACATAACCGTTAGAGAAGCTATTGTTAACTAGGACCTGCCTTACCTTACAGTTCTTCATCGACTTGCTGCCATCCTGAGCTGTGACTGAGAGCCCGGTCGACGTAAGCATTGACAACACTCCTCTTGTACCTGTCTGGGCAGTCACTATTGGCATTGAGGCACATTCCCATGTTTGTTTCCTTAGTATAGACTGCAGTGTGGAAGCCTCCGTTCCTTTCCGTGACTATTACATCTAGAAAGGGCAGCTTCCCATCATTCTGCATCTCGTAAGTGAAACTTAACACAGAATTCTGCTCGAATGCCTCCTTCAGCTGCTGCAGACTTCTGACATCAGGTACCTGCATAACAATGTTGTCAACATACCTGCAGTATATGGCGGGTTTCAAGGCCATGTCAACTAAGACCCTCAGCTCGATGGTACCCATGTAGAAGTTCGCAAACAGGACACCGTGCCCATGTGGACTTAAGAAGGGTGCCTCTTTAGTGCAGGCTTGGAGTAGCTTTCTTAGTATGTTTTCTGGTATGTCAAGAGGAGTACAAGCCGGGTCACGATACACATTATGGATGATAATGGACAGAGTGTATCGTGATCCGGCTTAATGTACTCCTCTTGACATACCAAAAAAATACTAAGAAAGCTACCCTAAGCCTGCACTAAAGGGGCATCGTTCTTGAGTCTTCAGGTTGGCTGTAAAACCCTGGTTGGGCCCTCACCTCCCAGAGAACTCAGTGAAGTTCTGAGTTAGTCAAAGTTTGTACCACCTTGGCCGAGATTTGGGCGCCTCGGCGTTCGAACAGTTTTAGTTTAATTCATTTATTATGCACCACATGACCATCTTGTGGGCGGTGGTGGAAAGGGTTACAGAGGCACATAATGGGCTCAGGGACTGAACCACACAATTCATTTAGCTAAGCAAGTTGCAATCTTGATGAGCTAGTTATAAACTTCAATACACATCGTCACATCAACAATGGGCTCGAGACCGACCACAAGTACAGTTTCTAAATTAAGCAACTGACATGTGTGGAGAGCTAGTGTCACAATTAATATGTAGCAACGCAAATCGCTGTCCTGTCCTCGGCATCTGACAACCTAGTGAAAGAAATTCTACCTGACTACTTAGGTCAGCTGGCCTAAAGCTAGGCTACGTAGCGCGGTTCAGGTTATTATGTACAACATACATAAGTGAGTGTAAGAGTGAGAGCTTGATACTCACAGTAATTTTCAATTTCTTTCTTTATTATGCACCTCATACCCATCCCGTGGGCGGTGGTGTAAAGGATTACAGAGGCACATAATCGGTTCAGGAACTGAACCCTCTAGTTTAGTAGATTATGAATTTAGCGTAGCCTCATGTATGTTTCCTGGTTTCATGGAACTGGATTCCGGGTGTAGTCTAATGCACTTGTTAGCAGATGTATCAAGACTAATATTGACTCATTTGCAGACAACGGTTAAGGTTATGTACGATCCGATCCGTATATTATGTATACGAACCCAACTGTATAGGCTGTGCCAACAGATTATACACTCAGCTTGCCTCAGTGTGTATATAGACCTCTTATGCAAGCTGTAAGTACAGAAAACTGGATCACCACTACAATTTTGTCCCCATTGCTTCCAAGATATTTGGCACCTGTGGTAACAGTGCCACCAGCTCATTATTGAGGGAACTAGGTTCTAGGCTAATTGAAACAAGAGACCTTACAGGTTCCTTTTCCAGCGCCTCAGCGTGGCGATACAGAAGGGAAATGCATGCTGCATTCAGGGTTCCTGCCCGCCATCTGAGGAGCTGGAGGAACTCGACAACCTATGATAAACAACTTTGTACCTTGTTTATAATAAAGTTTAAATCAAATGAACACTTACATATATCAGGGGGGTGGTAGGAGAAGACAATATGTGTCAGCGCACGTGGGAGTCCGACAAGGCTCCACTGGCTGCTGCATATCCTCGTCCTACAGATACAACCGGAGGTGGTACCCGCATATTTTTAGGGAGGGTGACTGAAACTCATGTTGGGGTCAAATTATTTATTTATATGTAATATAGTTTAATTAATAGTAAATTATGCACCGTAGATATATAAAGTATTATAAGTAATTTAACTAAATTATAAATGATGATAATAAGGTGTATAATTAATGTGCATAACAGCAATTGGACTTCATGAAACATACGCAATTTAACAAGTAAATTGACGTGAAAAATTGATAATATAACTGATGAAGGTAATGACGACCACAGACAGGATAACTGAGTTAACAAAAACATTTTCTCATTGAGTTAACAGTAATTGGCAACCGCTGGTAACAAGACAATCAATGTAATGACTGATAGCAATTCAGTGCTTCGGGTGTATCGTGTCCGGCGTTGTCCCATATATTTTATATATATATATATATATATATATATATATTGGTATATTATATATATATATATATATATATATATATATATATATATATATATATATATATATGCCTTAAAAGAGAGCAACGTTGTTTACGCCTTTATGTGACCACTTAGGGATGGTACTTCTCCAGCCCATGCCTTACACTGTTTATGGAAAGTTCATGGTGGTAAAACGAGCCTAGTTTGGATCTAATGGTCAGTTTCGGTTTGAATTTCTTTGTAGTCCTCATCTTGGACCTTTATATAGATTTCTATAATTGTATTCCATCTCAGGATATACTGTATTGTAGTGGTTATGTAGAGAGGTAATCTTCTTTCATCTCCCTGAATTTGATTAATCATGACTTCTTCCATTGTTAGCAGTGTATTGGATTTATACATCAAAACTATTATAACCCTAGGTACATTACAGTCTTAATACATAAATAATTAAATAAAGCTTTATTTTTTAAATAATGGCTCCCAGATCTGAGCATACAATTTCAGAATAATTAAATAAATAAAATTTACAATACATTATATACTAAAACAATAGTTAAATAAATACAATAAATAAATAAATAAATACAGTATACAGTATAATTAAAATGCAGTATTATTTGAGCACCATGTAGAAATTTCAAGTAAGAAATTTCAAATATGAATGAGATCAAGTAACAAATTCACATGTATTGTACATGAAAACAATTCAAATAATTACAACTACAAAAGCACAGTTAAATCTCCTGTCTTAATACATATTAAATATTTACTCCTAACAATTTGAGGCAGTTCCCCCAAACCCATAGAATTCATGAGGTGAGATATTGATGCCTTAAGTCTAGGCATGTGAAATTTAAATATATTAATGATGTTCAGAGCTCTATATACTATACAGTATCTCTTATTTGCATCAACTAAAAATCTGGGGCCAAGATTAAATTGCTAGTAAAAAATATGTATGAAATTTTTGTTGTATGTATTAAAATGCAGATCTCATCCACATACAAAAGGCAACATTCCTTACATTGCATGCAGTTTTGGTCACCTTACTTGAGAAAATATATTGACAAATTAGAAAGTGAATTTTAAAATCCTCAGGACAAGTGGGAGGACCTTACTAAGAAGATGCAGCGTAGCAAATACAGCCACACTATGAGCTATAAAATGATTAAATCAGGGAGATTTTATTCACCTTTATAATAAGTTTGAATAAATGAAATTATCCAGTAACTTGACTTCACTATACTCAACACAGACAAGAATGTTCACAACTTCTTATTCATTATAATCTTTTTTTATACAGTAAATTGCAATTGTATTTTGCTTTGAATGATAAACACCAGATAAAGAATATTGGTCATGATGTCATTACATATGCCATAAAATTATTTCTCATTACTGCTGAAAATGTTTTGGACATTATAATAAACATTAACTTGGTACTGTACTTGGTATGTTGTAACTTAATGCTTCTGAATTTTTTACATAAATTCATAAAAATGAAAAAATTCACACAATTAACTAACAGATAATTGAAATAAATATTATCCTCAAGACAAATTATTATAAATGACAAGCTCTTCTAAACCCATCTGCCCTCTGTGTTTCCAAATTCTGTATTTGACCAAATCTTTACGAGTCACCATACCAACAACTATATTGTTGTCATCAACCACAACAAGATGTCTTAAACCAAGAGCCCTAAAAAGATTGAACATTCTTGGTAGGGAAGTGCAGGCAATTACTGAGTATGGGGAGGGATTATAAAATGGTCTAATGTCCACTGTGCAGTTCATATCCTCAGGATTCAAATCAACTTCCTCAAGAGTGAAGTACCGTGGATAGGACAGGCGAAAGAGACGTATGTTTACTTTGCTATTCTGCCACACCTCATTATTTTCATTAAAAATCTGCAAATAAATTAAGAGATTATGAACACATTTTTATTTTTAATAAAATATTTGATTAAAAATTTTATCCATGCTTTTGGCCCTTACTGTACTTTTGGCTCAATACTGTATTTTTGCCCTGCAGTAGGCTATATATATGATTAAAAAAAAAAGGGCTTTCTCATTGAATTTTAAAGCACTGATCATGCTGCTACAGTACACTATATGCAAATATGCTTCACATATATAAAAATGAATACGTTGATGAACAAGATTAAAAACGAACGAACAAGTTAAAAACGAAGCTATACCTAATAAATTCCCTGTAACCTACCTTACCTCTCTATTGTCAACCCATGTATGTTTTTTGTTTTTTTTTTTGTTTTACAAATCAACGCTGTTTTAATGTAATTTTCTGTAATAATTTGTAATTGTATTTGTGCTGTTTTTTCAACAATGTTCCCCCCTCTTTTACCTCTATTTTTATTTGTACTCAACGCATTTTTTTCTTTTTACCCATTAGTTTTAAGCTTTAGTCAGTAGTGTTTTTTCCTGCCCGAAACGCTTTGCGTAATAGTGGCTTTAGGCATTGTATGTACTAGCTCCTATCTATAAAGCCAACAAACTTTGTAAAATCTCTTTATGTATGTACCTTTGCCTAAATAAAAATTATTATTATTATTATTATTATAAGCTGGATCAACATTATAACAAAAATTATTATTATTATTATTATTATATATGTAAACTGCCATTTTGTGAGAGCATGAAGGTACAAGATAATGCCTGGTATACAAACCCATCATCACTAACCAATTAATAGATTTAATTAGGAAAGCCAAGAGTAAATAAAAGGATGATAAGCACAGGTAGGTAAGTAGAATTAATGGAAATTAGGTTGTGTGAAGGGCAGTATAGATCATGTTGTGAATGCTACAAGACACGTTGCCAACCTGTGGCTTCCCTGTGGTAGAGCTTGTAAATATCACCTATTTGTGGAGGAAGGTGGACCAAGTTCCAGGTTTTAAACGAATGGTTATACCACCATGACAAGTATCTTTGCCTTTAGCCTTGCCATGGATAAAATTGAGAATGAGACAGGGGGAAGTTTACCTTAACCTACCTCCAAAACTACCTACCTCCAAAACTAATCTGAATCAGCTGTAATAATTAATTAGTATTCACACCTAATCTCTAGGAACAAGAAAAGTTAATAGAACTGGCTACTAGTACTATAAAAAAACTATTATTTTTGCACAGTACTGTACTGTACTTTTTGAGTAAGGGATATCTAATTGAGAACTTAAAACTATATTACTATACTGTACCTTGTATTTTAAAAGAACAAGGAGCTGAGAACGTAAGATGAGGCCCCTCAATGTACCACATGGCAAGATATATTGTGAATCATATGCAGTTGGAGAACCATCTACAATTGGAAAGCCGTTGTAATTATATTGTTTGAGAAGATTCACAATCCGTTTAACACTCTCAACAGATCTTATGGTGGCAACAGGTCTGCTCATTACCTAAAAATAAATAATTTAAGGTCAAAAGTTTGTATGGGAACCAATAAATCAATCTGGAGAATAAACAAATAACTGTATAACTATATTTTTACCAGTCACCTAATTTAGTAATGTCACCATGAGAAATTTATAATTTTTGCCAAATGGTGATTTTTTCATTTGTTAGCACAAAAAATAATGCTGGAAGTACTGTATATACACAAAATTAAAAGTACAGGCAATAATTAAAAAATAAATAAAAATAAGGTGTTAAGAATTATGAAATAATCCACTCTGAGTAGTCTCTCAGTTGCTTCCCTAGCCAGAACCTGTGCAAGCAAAGGACCTCACATATCCATCAAGTTCTGTCAACATGTGCCCCATAATGAAAAGTATCTTAATTAGGGTAGGGAATTTTTGTTTTCGTTTTTTATACATATAAGCGTTCTTGCATTCTTGTACAGCCACTAGCACGCATAGCGTTTCAGGCAAGTCCTTAATCCTATGTTCCCCAGAATATGACCCCGTCAAATTGTTTAAATTGGAGAAATAATGTTCAATCTGCCATTCATGGGCTGCCCACTTTACTGTAACACCAAAGATTGACCAAGTGGCTATTGATCTACTGTACTAACAGTAGTTTGCAGAGCAATAATTAGCAGTTTTGGTACTTCTAATTTTTGCTTGCTGGGGAGATGAATCGTGACACTTTATTTTATGGCAGTAAGCTTGTGCTCTTGGTGGTGGCTTTAGACTCACCATGGTCTTCCTTTGAAAGTGACAAGAGCACACACCGTGTCACAATGGAGATAAGTCGTCAGAGTCTGACGAGTGATATGAGTTCTGGTCTTTGCTCGGAAATATTGTCACTCCATTAAACAAAATAGGAAAAAATAATATAAAACCCACTACAATGGAAGAATGTATCCAATGAAAGAAGTCAAAATTAATCCAATGTATTGTTTAAATATTTTTGGTGCCAAACTCGAATGACAAATAAAACCCTCATTACTTACTTCTGAAGCGTATACATTGTTTGAAAGAGCTGGTGCATCCCAAGCCATCATAGGTAAACCTAGCATTTGAATATGGATTTCATACAGACCCTGGAAAATTTACATAATTAGATTCTTGGGGTTGTTACACATTAAAAATATAAATTCAAATATAAATATATTTAATAACTATATACATTCAAAGCTAATTACAAATTTACACATTTGTTGGAAATTCATTCTCATGAAGAAATTTGTATAACCCAATGAGAAAATCCGTACAAACCTCATTGAAGAAATCTCCCACCCATTTAGCTACCATGAGGACAGTCATTATAGGTAAGCCAAATGTTATATTGCCAACGCACTCCAATAAGCAAGCTGTCAAACTTATAGTCATGCGCACAACGCCCCCAAGCAAAGCTGCGGCACCAACCAGTGCGTATTTTCCTTCGTGTACCCAAGGCTAAAATGGAAATAAAAATTTATAAAGCATTATTTTATTACTATACTGTATAACTGTTAAGCCAATTCATCTTAATTTTCAAAAACCCTTTATTTAAAAACTAATAAATGAGTGAAATGTGCAACTTGAAATGAAACGCAATCCAAAGAAATATTGGCAATCACATTTGTAATTTAATAAATATATACTGCAACACAGACATTCAAAATAATAAAATGGAAAATAATTAAATCCATTTGAGAATAACCTGATTAGGGAAGAGGAACGTCATCAGTTTCCCCACCAGCCGGCCCCCAGCTGCTCCACACAGCAACATTGGGATAAAAAGTCCAGAAGGGACTCCCATGCCATACGACCAGCATGCCAAGAAGTAGTAAGTCACAAAGAACACAGTTATGGTTGGCCACTCAAAAGCGTCTATAAAAGAATGCGGGAGAAAATAAAAAATAATTAACACATGTACAGTACATCAAAATATATGAATAAAATTGTAATGTAAAATTTGACATAAGATTATTGCCCATACATCTATTTTGAAAGTACTGAAGCTATATTTTTTCATCACTCCTCAGGTGGAATGACATATTGTACAACATTCATCATCACACAAATTCTAATACAGTGCAAATTCTACTAAGGCAAACACTCCAGACAAATAAAAGGATGCAATATACAAAACTGAAAATATTTGTAGCTGAAAGTACAAACACTGGTGCAAGAACTAAGGTAATTAACAGGAGAAAGCACTAAGTCATTAAGAATATAGCCCTAGGAAGGGGAGAAGATAAGGATTTAAGATAGAATGAAGGAGAGGACGGGTGGTCATCCACTTTGACTGGACGGTAGAGTGACGGTCTCGCTTCTTGCAGGTCGGCGTCCAATCCTCCACTGTCTACGTGAATGGCCACCAGTCTTTTCCTCCACCCTATCCTAAATCCTTATCCTAATAACCCTTTCAAGTGCTATAATCATAAAGCCTTAGTGCTTTCTCCTGTTAATTACATTACCTCTTGCACCAATCTTTGTACTTTCACAACCCAGTGTACCACATTATAAATAAATAAATAAATAAATCTTTATATATACAGTATGTACTTCATTGCACACCTCTTAAACCTCAAAACCACTAAAAGTAGTTTGATTGTATGACAGGATTGTATGACAGGACAGAAAGATGTTCACAGGTCAGCAAAAATTTAATACAAACAGGGTGGGTGGGTCCATGCTAAAAGGCTGGTGTAATGAATACTGACCTGGAGGATCATGAAACAATGATCGCACACTTTTTTCGGGAGACTGATACCATATATTAGCTGCATTTTCCTCCCCATCACTACAAAACATCTGCAATATATATTAAAATGTATAATTTACTACACAAACACCTATAAATAAGCTGAAGCCTTCCTATTTACCATATAGATTTTGCTTTATCCCAAATTAAACATTAAACAGTGTTTAATGTTAAACAAATTAAACAGTGTTTTTAATCAACACTGTTTGTCAACCTATTGTATTTGTGCTGCTTTTTCAGTCATGTTCCCCCTTTTTTTTATCTTTATTTGTATTTGTTCTCAAACACTTTTTATTCTTTATGCTCAATTAGTATTAAGTTCTAGATATTAATGTTTTTCTTGCCCGAAACGCATTGCGTAATAGTGGCTTTAGGCATTGTATGTACTAGCTCTATCTATATATCAATCCATTAATGTAACATCACTTGTATGTATGTACCTTACCTGAATAAACATATTTATTTTATTTATTTATTATTTGTATATTTTTCATTTCCAAAGAAAATCTGAAATCAATAAATTCCTGAGTTAAAGAAGCAATTGAAACAGTTTGCAAGCATCTTCAGGTGCAGGCTGTACCTACCTGCTTTCACCAACAAACACAAAGGTGGAGAAAGTATAAAATTTTTCTCAGCACTTACAAATAGGAACGTAAAAGACGAGCAGGAATAATAAGGTGAATGAGGAAAATAGCAGACCATTAACTGGTACAGCCCACATAGTGGAACCAAACAGATCCATCATAAGGAAGAAGCGTAATCTACCTCTGCACTATAGGACTCCCATAGGCAATTGAGGCTACTTATGTACTGTATTAGCACAAATTTTGTCAATTCAAGCAATAATACAATCCTTCAGTCTTAATTTTGTTAGATCACTTAATAAGTAATATCAGCAGTACAGTAGGCTTTGGTAATTAACTAAGACACTCTTTAGGGAAAGACAAAGAAAACATTAAAAATAAGAACACTACAAAACCATATTATGCATTCTTATCAGGAATACAGAGTTACTAACCTGAATAGGGTGTACGGCGGTATTTTCTTTAATTATATGACAATCTTGAATTAAATATAGTGTGAGGAAAGAGACGACTGCTGTAACAAAGGCGATCACTGTTGCTTCTAATATTTTCTGCCATGGTTTATAAATGTATCTGAAAAGATAAAATTTTATGTTGTCGTCAATAAAAAGTAATAAATAGAACCTGTAATCGTGACTCGTCATAGTATTGTGTTAAACCAAAAAGTTTATTAACCAATGAAAACACCTCACAGCAACCTTAGGTACAGTATGCCTAAAATACAGTGATTTTATGCTGTGAGGATTTATAAACAAAAATTATATTTATGAAATCACTGTACAATAATCATGTCATCTGTAATTTGTTTATAAATAAATTATTCTTATTAAGGAAGGCCACACGAGTAACAATGTTATACAATCCATTTAAAAATTAATGATCTGGAAACTTGAGTCATAATATGGAAGGCTGAGACAAAAAGCACAAGTGTCAGCACAAGTTTCTTCAAACTGACATTTTTATCAGCAAGAGGCACCCTTTCCACCACCATCCATACCCATCCCGTGGGCGGTGGTGGAAAGGGTGCCTCTGTAAACCTTTCCACAACTGCCCTCGGGATGGGTATGGGGTGCATAATAAAGAAAGAAATTGAAATTGCTAAATGTAATAAAATTTATATAAATTGTTTCGTGTTCTGTTTTGTGTTGATACTTTTAATACCCTATTAATATCCTTTTGCTATGACCATTCCTCCACGTGTACACCTCTATCATGTCACCCCTAATTCTTCCCTTTCTAGAGAATGTAGTTTAATTTATATCCATTCTAGTGAATTCTAGTGAATTTAAATCCATTACTGATATTTCGATACTATGGCAAGCAATGGCGAGTATGGCGAGCAAAACTGAACTGCATAATCTAAATGGGGGCCTAACGAGAGCACGATATAACTGAAGAACAACACAAGGTATCTAATTACTAATGCTTCGATTAATAAATCCCAGTGTCCTATTTGCCTTACTACGAACTGATTTTATGCACTGATTTTTTGGTTGTAAATTTTACCTATCATAACTTCCAGATCCCTTTCGCAATCAGACTTCGCAATCTCAACACCATCTAGCTCGTAACTTTTAACGCTATCATCATTACCTATCTTCAAAAACCTTACATTTGTCAGCATTAAACTGCACCTGCCAATCTTTTGACCATTTCAAAACCCTATTTAGATAGTCTTGAAGTGACAGCGAGCCTTTTTCCGTGTTTATTTCCCTACCAATTTTTGTATCATTGGCAAATTTGCAGATATTGCTGATCAAACCGGAATCTAAATAATTTATATATATTATAAATAACAGAGATCCCAGGACAGAGTCTTGAGGCACTCCACCTACATTTTCCCAGTTTGACTTAACCCCATTTATACTAACTCTTAGTTTCCTCTGGTAAAGCCATGCCCTAATCCAACTTAATATAGCACCCCCCAATACCATGAGCCTCTATCTTTTTAATCAGTCCTTCATGTGGCACTGTATCAAAAGCTTTGCTAAAGTCAAGGAACACAACATCACAAACCTTACCACTATCAACTGCCTCAACTATGCTGGAATAAATGATAGCAAATTTGTTAAACATGAACGGCCATTTGTAAAACCATGTTGTGAATCATTTATTAATTTATGTCTTTCAAGACGAAGACAAGTGGTATTTGCTATTATCGATTCAAGTAACTCTCCAACAATAGACGTTATGCTAATTGGTCAATAGTTTGAAGCAAGTGATCTACCTAGTTTCTTGAAAATTGGAACCACATTAGCAACCTTCCATGACTCTGGCACTCCGCCTGACTTTAATGATTTATTAAATATGGTAGACAATGGCTCATAAAGCTCCTCTTTGCATTCTTTAAGCACCCTGGCAAACACTTTGTCTGGCCCTGGGGATTTGTTTGGCTTGAGTTTCACTATTTGTTTAATAACATCCTCCCTAGTAACTGCTAAACTAGTCAACCTATCCTCTTCCCCACCCACATAGACTTGTTCAGCTGAAGGCACAACATTAAGTTCCTCCTTAGTAAATACAGAGAAAATATTTATTAAATATACTACTCATCTCTTTTTCGTTATCAGTTATCTGACCTGTCTCGTTTTTAATGGACCTATCCTTTCCCTAATCTTTGTTCGATATAACTTAAAAAACCCTTTAGGATTAATCTCTTTTTTAACATTTCTAACCAGTTGGAAGAATTCTTGCTCTAAACTGACTTTTTTATTCCACATTCCTTAACATGGTGCGTATTCACACTGAATTCCATTCCATGTGTTACTCCAGACACTTATATTGTCTAGGTCTTCTTGAAGGGCATGATAATTGTCCAAGTTTCTTATGGTCCCTAGTAGGGACCATAAGTTTTGTCATTATCATCGGCAAACATGTTCATATGATTCTGTATTCCTTCTGGTAGATTGCTTATTTAAATAATGAACATTACTGGTGTTAGAACTGAACTCTATGGTACAAGTAACTACAAGCAACATTTTACCAGTCTGATATATTGCCTCTGAATACTGCCCTCATTTTTCTGTCAGAAAATATTTCATTTATGTCAGAAATCTCCCTGTCACCCCTGCAGTATCTTCCAGCTTCCAGAAACAATCTTTGTTTTTTCTATACCTTTTCTCTACCATCTACTTCCCCACCTGCTTCTCTTTATAACAGGTCTTTACCATCTACTTCCCCACCTGTATTTCTCTATACCAAGTCTCTACAATCTACTTCACTTGTTCAGAAGGAGCAAATCCTGTCAATACTATAAATATTCTGGCAAGAGACTTAAAAAATTCACCATTTTCAGTACAGTAAACTGTAACACATCAAGGAAAACACCATACACTTACTTCATCCTGAAGGAAGTGAGCTTTTGATTCATAAGGTTGAACACGGCTCCCAGTAGGCCTCCAGCAACTCCCATTAGTAGAAAAGGCACAAATTCCCATATTTCGTAAGTCAGAGACACAAACTTGCCGAAATCTAGGAGTCCATTGAAAGTAAGTGTACCTAAAAATAATAATAATAATAATAATAATAATAATAATAATAATAACAATAATAATAATTATATATACTATTTGTATACTTAGGCAGCAGGCATTCCTTTAAGCATTTTTGGTTAAATATGACTGCATTGCTGGCATTGTTGATCTTATAGTACAGTACATATAAGCTTTCTATCCTCCTACCTATTTTCTTATTCTCGGGATTAAGAAGAGCATTCAAGTTACAGAAATTCATGGTAAAGAAACTAGTGATTATTGAAATGTATATTTTGTATGTTTAATTTCACTCTGGAACATCTTCAGGTAAGGAATGAATATACAAGGTGCAAATTGATCTTAAATGCTCATGTGAAAGAGATGAAGTTGTGTGGGAGATAAGGTGAAGTAATCACACATAAGTGAAGAAATAGGGGAAGGATGCCAATCAAACACTGGGTAAGGGGCTGGGGGTGGGGGGAGGAGAACTTGATAGAGATGTCGTTTTCTGGTGCTGTATGGTGAGGTCTGGATTTGAGCGTAGGCAATATATCGAAGTCGTTACTCTGTATTTTTAGAATGGGTCTTTTTTCTATTATGAGTATAGCTTCTACTATTTGCAGTCTTCTCTGTAAATATATACTACATTTAATGTGGTATACCAATATACTGTACCTCCTAATCATTAAGCAACCCTCTGTGACCACTCCCCAGCTAGAGTTAATGTGAGCCTCTGGAACCATTACCAGTCACGTCCAACTCAGTGGTTCACTGAGGATGTGCAAGACCAGCCACTCTCCCAGAAACACCACTCCCTCACACTCCCAACATACCTGGAACTCCGTTGTAGGTTGAAAGGATTAAGTTTACAGTGAATGAAGACATCATGGCACCAAAGAACACCCTCCATGTGAGAGCCTGGTTCCAGTAGCTGGCTGCCTCCTCCAGGGAGAACAACACTCCACCTAAAAATGTAATCTTTCGATAAAATAGCTTGAATAGTACAACTGATACAACTACATACATACACATGAATATGAAAAAACACAGAATTGGCCTAGTTACAAACGAACTGTAATTCTTGTATTGTATTGTAGTTATATATTGATATAAAATTTGTGCTACAATGTACCTTTTCATCTTACCTAATGTGTTAGATTAAGGACCTGCCTGAAACTCTACGCATGTTAGTGGCTTTGCAAGAATGTCAAAATACCAATCCTATGTAATCTCATAATCCCATTGTGCCTTCTTGTGAATAAAAATTATTATTATTATTATAACTAGTTAAAAGATATTCATCAATGCTTACCAGTATAATAAGAAAAGCTAAACTTTCCTTTTATGAGAGTAAATTCAAAGAAGCTAAAGGAAACATGAAAAGTCGTCTCAAACATCTTAGGACCTAATCAACAATTGCCTAATAAGTAGGTAAAAACTATCCAAAAATCAATACACTTCTAGAGGTTATCTAGAGATGATTTCGAGGCTTTTTTAGTGTCCCCGCGGCCCGGTCCTCGACCAGGCCTCCACCCCCAGGAAGCAGCCCGTGACAGCTGACTAACACCCAGGTACCTATTTTACTGCTAGGTAACAGGGGCATAGGGTGAAAAAAACTCTGCCCATTGTTTCTCGCCGGCGCCTGGGATCGAACCCAGGACCACAGAATCACAAATCCCGCGTGCTGTCCGCTCGGCCGACCGGCTCCCTTGCAACTAACCTAGAAATGGCAACTGTATTTAATAGCTTCTGTTCATCAATTGGTGCTAACCTTGCCAGAAAAATCCCAGAGACCGAGACACACGTTACTACATATCTCACCGGCAACTATACTAACATTTGCAAATGTTAGGAAATGTTTGCAAACATTTTGACACCAAATTTAACTCAAAAATACTGTAACTTATATAACATAAAACGATTGCAAAAATTTTTCACATAGTTGTGCAATCTGTGAGCAGCTTTGAGAGGCCAGAATGCTTACGGTTGAGAATGCACGGAGAGGCCAGACTGCCGAAGTGCTAATAATATTTTGAGTAATTTTTAAAAAGAATATGCCTCAAGAATATACTTAAATTAATATTAATTATATCTCAGTGTTATTTGTGTTCAATTTAATTCAAAGTTGTAGACCTAAAGTGTCACAATATAATACTGGTGACCTAGTATGTGCTTAGATTTCCATAAAAACTCTGTTATGATGATATCCAGCCCCCCAACTGAAAATGAAGAAATGATGTTTCAGTCCATCTTGGACCATTATCAAGTTGTGTAATGGATACGACTTGATAATGGTGCAGGACAGACTGAAACATCATTTCTTCATTTTCAGTTCTGGGTTGAATATAAACTCTTCAACCACATTATTGATCTTAGATTAAGGACCTGCCCGAAACGCTGCGCGTACTAGTGGCTTCACAATCTTCTTGAGGTTATCTTGAGATGATTTCGGGGCTTTAGTGTCCCCGCGGCCCGGTCCTCGACCAGGCCTCCACCCCCAGGAAGCAGCCCGTGACAGCTGACTAACTCCCAGGTACCTATTTACTGCTAGGTAACAGGGGCATTCAGGGTGAAAGAAACTTTGCCCATTTGTTTCTGCCTCGTGCGGGAATCGAACCCGCGCCACAGAATTACGAGTCCTGCGCGCTATCCACCAGGCTACGAGGCCACCACAAGAATGTAATTACTGTACTATGCTATGTATCCTCACAATCCCAATGTACCTTCTTGTGTATATATAAATAAAAATAAATAAATAAATAAATTGTAACTCATCTTTTGTACACTCGGCTATCTTTACAAGTATATACTGTACATTATATACACTTAAACTGACCGACTGGAGCACCAAAAGCGGCAGAAACACCAGCAGCTGCACCGGCAGATACAAAATCTCGCTTTTCGTGGTCTTCTCGAAAGTATTCAAAAATCCCAAAATCATAATTGAATGAAGACGTCTTCCCTTGAGATACACCTGCTGCTATTATAGCTCCAAAGTGAATAATGGGTCCTTCCTGTTAAAGAAAAACAAGTAATTTTAATAATACTTACACAGTTCAAAATACTGTGACATAAAATTATGTCACATAATTGCCAAACTATAAACTGAAAAAGGTAAATCTTATAAATGCAGTATATTCAAGTGTCTGTTCCATTTTTAGTATTTGTATTTAGCTGGAGTATTTTTAATGAGAGAAGGCCTTATAGTCAGTAACTGCTTACTAGAGTCAAAGTTCAACAAGTCCAACATATAACTGTAACATATAATGTTTCCATTTGTTTTTATACACAGGCTCTGTTATGATGATATCATAATAAGATGAATTGAATATAAAAATATATATTATTTTATTTAGATATATGGTACTATGCTGTATTAAAAATAAATCAACTATCATATTCTATCCATCCTCCTGTTTATGCACCCAGTAAGGAAAGGAAGAACCTAACTCGAAAGAGGCAGGATCCATCATCGAGGCGTAATCCGGGTCACGCACGAGGTAAGCCACAATGGCCTCCCGCCCCTCACGAGGCGGGATGTGAGAGGCCAAAAACCTCCAGAAGTTAGGAAGAAACCAAAGTACTCAAGGGAACCCAGAACCGAACGAAGGGAGGGGATGACCCCATATCAAATTCGTACAAGGATGGGGATAAGAAAACCCTACTCCCTTCAGCAACAAGCCTCGCTCAGAGGGTACCAAAAATCCAAGCGGGGCCAAACGGTGTCCAAGGTTCCCAAGTCAGCCCCTCCCATGCCCTGGGAACCTCCACATCAGGACCTGCAGCAATCTAAAATGCGCATGCAATGCTGAAGCTGCCTGCACCTGAATATCATGATCAGTAGATTGAGTGAACTGGAGTACAAGCAAGCAACACCACTCACAGGACTTCGGGTCGAAGGTGTCACTGACCCAACAGGCAGCATGACAGAGGCAGAACAGGTGATTGTCACCTTGAGACAAGGGGACAGAGCCACTCTCAAATTCGCACAAAGTGAGATGGGACCCAGGGGATGCATCCATCGGACCACTGAGCCCCAGCAGGGGTTTCCAGGGCCCTTAGATGCTCTGCTAAGGGAAGCCCAGGCAAGGTACTGCTAACCTGTGCCCCAAACTACCAAACGAACTACTAGGTGCTGAACCCCCGTGACGTGTACACACACAGGGACCTAGCAGAGGACCACCAAGAAAACAGAAATATAAGGGTCAACAACACCATGGGCCAGACCCTCCACCTGGCAGGAAACAAAAAGAAAAGAAAAACCCCCGCACGAGTACAACGACACAGGCGGAACAAAGCCAGCCTCTGTATTATTGTGAAAACAAGCTACACAATACCTTGTGCCCCTACCAGTGATGAAGCTACCACCTACCCAGAGGCAAACAGGGATGCATGAAACACCCCAGCTGACTCCAAGGACAGGCACTCACCAAACAGCAAAAGACCACGGTGGAGGTACATCTCAAGCAACTTGTGGAAGGAAACCCAAGCCACAAGGGCAGTACTTACAAGGCACCTAGGAAAGGTAACCCTTGGTGCATGCAGCCTGAGTAAAGGTAATTACTCCTAGCTCACACACCAAGGACAGGAACACAGCTTGCGTACTGGTTCTCAGTACTCAGTACTGAGTAAGTACTGAGTACTTACCCCTGGCTCACACACCACCAAGGACAGAACCACACCACAAGGCACAGCACCGGAACAAGTCGGGTGCCAGAATCGCATGACCGCCAGGTCTCACATCAATCACAGAACTGAAGGTGTGGATAGCCGGCACGGGCCTCTGGGCTCCCCCCTTTCCCCTCCCTACAGGGAGGGGGGAGCTGCACAGACAGCAGCATGGTGACGGTTGTGATGTCATGCTAGTTTGCTTGTTTTCCTTTGGGGGGAGTTCTGTCCAAAAATTTGGCTTTCAGTAGCAATATTTTAACCAGATAGGGTTTGTTTTGGGGCGCCTACTTTTCTGGGTGCCTGACTCGGTCGATGGCAGACTGTCTGCTTTCAGACACATGGCAGACTGGAAGCTTCAATGCTTCCAACCACACAGGGGTTTCTATAGGCCATTGCTCCTCGTACCTCTCTGAGGGGGCCAGGTTCTGGCTCGTGGTCCACAGTTGGCCTAAGAACTCCATTTGTTTTGACTGATGTCAGGGTCTAATACATTCATATCAGCCCGGATAGCTCCGGGGAGCTGAAGGGGCTCCCCCCAGAAAAGGCAAATTTCCACTAATCCAAAATTATATGATCCAAATTTTGATGGTGCACAAATATAAAAGTACATATGAAAATCAAAAGAATTAATTGCACCAAGTACCCCTTGTCATCTCAACCTTGTGGACAGTTTTATACACATTCCAATTACACAATCAAATATTATTTACAACAAGAAAAATCATTTACATTACCTTGCCAATAGCAAGACCACCGAGAACAGACATAATGAGTCCAAGGACTTTGCACAGCAGGGTCTTCAATCTAACAATTCGTGGAACGTTCACACCATTCAGGTAGCACTTCACCTGAGGAATACCACTGCCTGCTGACAGAGGCTTCAAAGGGCATATGTATTAGGAGAGGCAAATATTTAGACTACAGTTATAATTAGTACTATATATCATCAAGTAAGTTACTGTAAAGGAAAAAGTTCATATCAGTGTTTAAATAAAGCATTGTTTGTTTCCTATACATTCTTAAACTATGTGCCAACCAAATCTGAACAAACTACTGTAAATTAAATATTGTACAATAAAAAAACTTTAAAGAAACTAAAATGCAACATTTTGTATTCAAATATTATCAAACATTAACTAAAAAAATTTATACAAAGCCGCCAATTAAGGGTTATAATGTCATTATACAATTTTTATCATTCTTATGTCCACCAGATTAGTCTCTTTGACCTGGAAGGTATATAATGTTAAATATCTAACCATCTTTACTGTATTTCCCTTTTGTATTAACAAAATGTCTCACAAAAGCAATTACAGTGGTAAATTAAGTACCTGTAATATTGTAAAAGGAGTCCCAAGTCTGGAAGATTATTTAACACTGTACTGTACTGTATCCAACAATATTTAAAAATTTAAAGATATTACCCCAGGATGCCAACATGAGGGCAAAAAACACAAGATGAGCGATGTCAAAGGTATTAGATTCACCAAGGATTTTATCAAGGGATATACTGTATGACTCATTAACATTGGAAAAACAATACTGTATTTCTGATTATCCTGCAAATGGGAACATTCCATGAGGTTTTCGAGTGTGGCCAACACACAACCGAGTCAGAAATATTTTCCACTTCCTCATATGGTGGTAAGAAGAAGACCGCAGTGTTAAGTCCCATCTAATTTTACATATTACAATTGGAATAGCTAACTTAATTTCCAACAGTTGCAAATGGTGTTATGAATGACAGGTTAGAAATCTGAGTAAGGAATTTTCTCCTGGGAGTTAGAAGTGATGTCATTAGAAGCAACATCAACAGGGCTGGATTTTTTAGATGCTATATTTTTACATTGTAGTACAATAAAATGAAGATTCACTTACCTCCACATATGATCCAAGAAAGGCAGCGACCAAGGTTGGTCCAACACTCAAAGTGACGCACAGTAAAAATGGAATGACCAAACTTGAGTTCTTGTCGTAATCAAGATCTGATGCCTAAGTTAAGGAAAAGACATGCCAAAGGAACAGGACAAAAGTTAATATGCACTGAGAAAATTCAGCCAAAAAAATGGGATATGCTAACCATATTTTTCTGGGTTTGCAAATATTATCAAAGCCTTTAAACTTTTTTATATACATGTATTGTTTAATTATGAAAACACAGTTGGAAAATTATTAGTTAGAAGGGGAAAGGGAACTATCAGGGAAAGCACCAAACCATTATGACTATATAGCACTGGGGTCATGATATATTATTTGAGATGGGAGGGGGGATGGTGGGGGGGGGGGGTGCCCAACCCCTTGGACTGTCGGGGATTGAACGCCCACCTGTCTGAAGCGAGACCGTCGCTCTACCATAGTTAGAAACAGCCCTCATAGAGGGCTATGACCGTGTCATTTACAAAATACCTTGTAAAGATTGTAATATATTCTATATAGACCAAACAAACATCTTAAGATTTGAAATTTAGAATTTTGCAGCATAAATATTCTGCAACTAATGCTCTATTTATTCATTCATTTGTCAGAAAATTCTCACCAAATGATCTTCAATAACTCAATGTAAAATCATTTTCAACAGAAACATTATTGAATCTGCTTTAATATATATCACTAAGCCATGCAATGTGAACATTAGTAATGGTTCACACAATTCGGATATATTTTAATTGTTCAATTAAAAAACGAGTTCAGTAAGATCATTAATACACATGGGCAGTTTCCTCTTATGTGTGTAATATTTGTTGTACTTAAACCAAACTTAAATATTCCTAGTATGACACATTTGTATTATATTAATTAGGCCTCAGTTAGCATGTATTAGGACTAGGAAGATTAAGTTAGGTTAATTTTCTTTGCAACATCAATACAAAATCCTTTCCAATTTGTCCATATTGAATACTACTGATTTCTACTTTCTAATTGGCTTTTTATGTCAGTCAATATATGTACGATGGTCTTCATCGTTACCATTAGTGCAGTACTACCTAAAGAGAAGGATGGGCAGAATGTTTAGGTATGCTGAGGTTTCCTATAACCGCCACCTGAGAAAGAAAATAAGTTATTTTGACTCACACAAACAACACAAAGATAATTATACTATAGTGTAAGAAAAGGATACATTCTTTAAGCCATGAAAATTTCAAATTTGATAGCGTCTCGATAGAAATCTCCATAGCGCAAGCTACTAAAGCAGTAAGAGCAGCAATCATCAACACCACCAGCCAACGGGCAATGTTCTTCTTCATCACATATGAATATCCATTAGTACGCTCTTCGTCAAGCCACGTTGAATTAACACAAGTTTCATAATCCATGCTCTGGAATGAAATGTGAATATAAGATAAATAAGTTTGAAGAGGACAAAAATATTTCTGAACTTCCAACTTTCATATACAATTTACATTCTTGAGTTTTCAAACTACACAAAAATACAATACTGTACTGGTTAAATGATACCAAATTGTAAATTCTCAGCCATTACCACCCTGTACCACTACAAGTGTAAACTATCACTACAAGTGTAAACTACCACTACAAGTGTAGACTGACATACCAGTCTGGACAAACCTTGGAGCAACTACTGAACCAGATAAAAAACCCAACCGCAACGCACTCTAGTCAACTGTACCACATCACGGTAATTGATATATCACGTTATTGTGATGTATCAATTTTAATAATAATTTAATAATACATTTAATAATAAAACTGAAAAGTACATCACTTCTAATCCACGTATTACATTGTTTAAACCATCATAAGCTTTCCATACCAAACAGCCTAGTATTGATTTAGGAGTCTACTGTTTGATTTCTTTTAGTACTGTATCTAATACTATCCAATCCCCTCAATCTTTATGTACCTAATCCAAACAACTTTACCATTGTGATCATTGCTGTCTTCTTATATGTGCTATCAATATGCTGTATAGTGCCTATTAATCTTTGTTAAATTACCAATCAAGCTGTCAATGCAATCAATCAGAGCTACCGATGTGCTTTAATATACCTACTAATCTCTCTCATCTCATTTTTTTTCTTACAATGTACCTGTTATCACTTCACAAATTTTGCTAGAATTTACCTACTTAAAATTACGTTAGATTAAGGAAATGCCCGAAACGCTGCGTGTACTAGTCGCTTTACAAGAATGTTAACACCATGCTATGTATCCTCACAAACCCAATGTACCTTCTTGTATATAAATAAATAAATAAATAAATAAATAAATAAATAAATACATTTTGTACAATCAAGGAATAAATGTCAAATTTCAATAAAATTTTATATAGATGTAACAAAATGTAGTTACATCCAGTTAAGCAATCTTGTGATAAGCAGTTAACCAACCTTACTATCATAATAACTAATAAGAGATACACTACAAATATTTCCAAAGCAAAATACAGCACTTTGTAAATCTAATCTTAAATTACAAATTTGTACTGGCAAATAATATTAATTCTGGCCTTTTAAATAAACATTTACAAGATGTGTAAACTTCAGTTCAACATCTAAACCAATTCATAATATAGTCAACTATATATTAAGACAGTATTTATTGAAGATTCTGGCATTAAACTGATGATAAAACAAATGAGCAAAACAAGCTGTACTAACCTCATAGGCTGCTGACAAAACATTAAGTTGACCCCGGTGATCAATGCAAGGCTTTTCCTGCTGGTCAGGAAAGAAAGTTCTATTCCGTACTGTTGCATTTCTATAATCATCTGCAAAAAAAAAAAAAGCATTGAATGTAATGAAATGCCATTTTTTGGGTGAGTCTCGGTGGCTCCCTGGAGCTATCCAGGCTGAATGAATATGTATAACTTTCTGGCATCAGTCAATGTGCATGGAGTTTTTGCCCTCCGAGGACCACAAGCCAGAACCCGGCTCCCTCAGAGAGGCGCAAGGCGCAATGGCCTATAGAAACCACATGTGGTTGAGAGAGCATTTGAGCATTTGAGAGCATTCTATGTCTGCCATCGACCGGATCTGACACCCAGAAATGTAGGTGTCACAAAACAAACCCCCTATTCTGGTGAAACTATTGCTACTGAAACCCAAACGAGTGGACAGAATTCCCGAAACTAAAATTAGCAAACTAGCATGACGTCATCATGTTGCCGTGCTGCCTTCTGCACAACCCCCCCCCTCCCTGGGAGGGGGATGGGGGAGCCCCAGACCCCCCGCCTGAGGGGGGGGGGGTCTTCTAAGACTTGAGGAAAAGAAGGAACAAGTCGTGTACCGGGCTGGACCGATCTGTTGAAAGAGGCGGAGCCATGGGAAGACCCTCAGGTTCGGACACTGAATAAGCTGGCCCTGAAACCAAGCCTGGGCACGGCCCCCGGATGTGCCACCAAGGAGCCAGAAGGACGACTCTCCCCTGGTAAGTCTCCAAGCAAGCCAGGACCTGGAGTAACAGCTGAACTGGGGGAAAGAGGTACAAGTAACCCCACCTCGCTCAGTCCTGCCAAAAAGTGTCGAACCCGACAGCCTCGCAGTCAGGGAAGGGCGCCACGTGTACCGGGAGACGCATCGACCAAACGAAAAGATCCACTCCAGGGGGCCCAAAAGTCTGGCAGAGCCAACTGAACGAGTTGGCATCGACCGTCCATTCCACGAACAGGGGAATGAACCAGGACAGGGTGTCCGCCAAGACATTGGACACCACGCGAATGTGAACCGCCAGGAAAGCCAAACCCTGAGAACTCAGCAAACGAGTCACTTGAAGCGACCAGCCCTAAAGAGCCAAGGACCGCAGAGAACCACCTTGGTTCAGGCAATGAACCCCCCCTCAGGGGTAACAGTCCGAATGGAGCCTGATCGTCAATCTGCGAGAGACCCGAATCCTCCAGAGCTACATCCACACTGCCGCGAACTCCCGCACCGTGCTGCGAGCCCGATGGAAGGACGGACCGCACCGTCCCTGGCCGGCCTAGTGAGCACTGGTCACAAAGCCCCAGCCAAAAGACTGGGGCTTTGCGTTTACAATGCGTTCGTAAACACATCGAGTGAGGGCTTGGGTAGAACATCAGATTGACAGAGCCCAGGTGCATGGGGGAATTGTGTAAAACCTCGGTTTGTGTCTCGGAGAGGCTGTGGGATCTGTGTGGGGGCAGTGGCACTCTCGGTTACAATTCTTTTGACCATGTCATGGTGCAGTCGGCTAAGGCGTGTCTGGGATCATCCCAGATGTAGGTTCGAACCCTCATCAAGGCCCTTGTGGATTTGTTCAAAATACATGTTATATCTGCCCAAAATGCTATGCGTGTTACTGGCTTTGCATGAATGTAAAAATACTAATCTAATGTAATCTCACCAACTCATAGTACCTTCTTGCAAATAAATTATTATTAATATTATTTTAATAATAATAATAATAATAATCTTTATTTAGGTAAGGTACATACATAAAGAGATTTACAAAGTTTGTTGGCTTTATAGATAGAGCTAGTACATACAATGCCTAAAGCCACTATTACGCAAAGCGTTTCGGGCAGCAGGCAGGCTATTACTGGCTTTGCAAGAATATAACACCAATGTATGTACTTTCACAACCCTATGATCTTGTAAATAAATAAATAAATAAATATTGAGGCCTTATGGCCTCAATATTTACTCAAAGTTATTACCATTAGTATTTTGTCTTGGAAATTATCAGTTATACAAGAGTTCTAATGGGATAGTTTCTTTTAGCACAAAGCTTGGTTTACCATTGGCCAGGATTTGATAATTCAAGATGGTATGAATAATGACAAGCAGCTGCCGAGTTAGAATTGAATAGCTTGCACATCAGACTTAAAACAAGGATGCAATTATGTGATACTAAAAACAATGTGATAAAATGGTTTCAAAAATAGGAATAATAGTATAGACAGATATTGTTTGCATTTCAATACCTTCAGAGGATTTGACGTTCTCAAGCAAATCATGATGATTATCCACACAGGCATCCATGTGCTCCACCTAGAAAAGAAAAGGTTCATTTATATTCTTGCAATCAACACAATTCATAGAGCTATAACTGCCAGCACTACTGTTGATAAAATGTAAGCATAATTTCATTGTATATGTTAGGCAACTATTGTAGAGTTGCATTTTTGGGAGGGTCAGTAGTTCCACCTAGGAGTTAAATAGAAGCTTTAAAAATAAATATTTATAAAGGCTGCAGGCAAGTACAGTATGTACTATGCCTAAAGCCACTAATATGTACAGTGTTTCAGGCATGAAGTACATTGCACGAGATTATGCTACAGTTACCAACTTCAAAATTGCTTTTAAATACATGGATGGTGAAATACTAAAGAAACTATTCACAATTTTTGTGAAACCAAACTGGAATATGCAACAGTTGTATGGTGCCCATATCTCAAGAAGTACATCAACAAACTGGAAAAGGTGCAAAGACATGCAACAAAATCGCTTCCAGAACTAAAAGACAAGAGCTATGAGGAGAGGCTAGAGGCGTTAAATATGTCACAGCTAGAAGATGATAACTACGTACAAAATATTAACGGGAATTGACAAAATTGATAAAGAAACCTGGACCTTCAAGTACAAGAGGCCATTGAGTTAAGCTATGGAAACAAGGCTGGCAAAAAACACTAGAAAGTTCACTTTTGCAATCAGGGGTAGACTGTTGGAACAATTTAAAGGAGAAGGTGGTGGAGGCCAAAACCATCAGTACTGTGGTTTTAAAATGGCATATGACAGAGTACTTTGAAGATGGGACACCACAAGCATTGTTCTCATCCTGTAATTTCAATTAGGTAATTACATAAATAGTAAAGTAAATTTTTAGAGTACAGTATTGTATTAAACATTCTAATATTCTTGATATACAAAGAAAGTACCCTGTACATAAGGTTTTTGTAACAGTTCTACCATACACATAAAACACACATAAAATTCAAACTAATAGATTGGATAACTTAAATTTAATTAAATGGACGATGCCTTTAGTCAGGTACATTATTATGAATTATAAACTGCTTGTGCTGCATACAAATTCCTTCAGGAGTAAAAGGATACCTCAACAGTATAAAGGGGCAAAAGCACAATTTTTTTTTTTTGCTTTCTAACTTCAAAATTGCTTTAAATACTTGGAGAAATGCTAAAGAAATTGTTCATGACTTTTGTGACACTGTACCAAAATTGGAATAAGCAGCAGTTGTATGGTGTCCACAGCTCAAGCACATCAATATACAGGAAGAGGTGCAAAGACATGCTAATAAATGATTTCCAGAACTTGAAACAAAGAGAGGCTAGCAGTGTTAACTGTGCCAAAGCTGGAAGATGGAAGCTAAATTCACAAAGAGGAATTTCTGAAACCAACAACTTCAAGAACAAGAGGTCATAGATTCAAGCTAAGAAAGCAAAGATGTTGAAAAAGTATTAGAAAATTCTCTTTTGCAAACAATGGTAGCCAGTTAGAACAAATTAAGTGAGAATGTGGTGGGAACCAAAACCATCAGTAGTTTCAAATCACCATATGATAAAGAGTATTGGGAAGACAGGACACCATGATCATAGCTCTCATCCTGTGACTACAATTGGGTAATGCAGTATACAGTGGCAATCTGCTTAAATTAAAATACTTTCGTTGGTCTTTGTGTGTAAAAATATGCAGCAATACATGTTTTAGTGTTTCAAAAAATATATGCAATACCGTACTGTAATTGTTGTAAAATAATGTTGGACTCAAGTAATATTAGATGCAATGTAAATTCTTAGGCAGCAAAAATGGTTTAGGCAAATGGTTCTATCTAATTGAAAGATAGTACACAGTAATATTAGCACATTTACACATTTCACACAGGGAAAAATTGTATAAAATAATGCAGAACATTACCCAGTATTGTTATTCTATCAAATTAATATTAGAATTCGACCAATTTGGCTTACACAAATAAGTGCGTATTGGTACATACCTTAGTAAAAGTGTCGTCGTAATATTTCCAGCCCAGATTTTTTTTACCATCATCTTGATAATCAACATTATTAAGGAGGCTTCTTAATTCATCATTGGTAGCCATATTATAAGTGATTCTACCTTAAAATTTTCTAAACAGCTGTAATATAAAAGCAGAAGTCAGTAATGCATTACTATACAATACAATATAAACAATAATAGCCATTTGTTATATTGAACTTTATGTTTATTCAGATATAAAAACATAAAATGTAGAAGGGTGCACAAGCTATCTTCACTATTCACATTTTAAGTGAAAAGTATTTATATTTTCACTTTCATAGATGTACAGTACAGTAATACATAATGCAAAAAATGCAAATGCAAATATATTTACAATTAAATACAAATATCTATAAAGTATGTAGTTACTGTATAAGTGTATAACTTTATCAGAGAGCGAGGACATCATTATGCTGATGCTAACATTGATGAATGTGAAAACAAGGGAACTATTTGCAGAATATAATATCCAGGGGTTACAAATTGCTACACACACAACAGTTAGGAGAGAAGGCTACATTACAGTCTATGTAGGGACCATTTAAAGTGCACAATTAAATGGGCAATAATGACATTGAGGTCATACAAAGAGATTTACACGAAGACCATGGTCAGAAGACTGACAAATGATTTTTAATATAAAAATGCAAGACCTTGCATTTGGGGCATACCAATGTGTATTACAACTACCAAATCAACAACATTACCTTGCTGCAGATTAATGAATTAAAGGACTTTGGAGTCAGAATCCACAGAACACGAAAGTTTAACAAGTGGGAACTGCAGTAAAAAGTAAAAAAAAAAAGAAAAAAAAAAAAGGAAAACTCAAATGAACCTTTGACCTCAAGGAATAGAAGGCAGTTATTCAACAGTATAAATCTATGGTGCACCCAATTTTGGCCTATTCTAACAGTTGAATGTGAGATCAGTAACTGGAGCCTTATTTAGTCATTGACCTGGTGCCCTCTATCTGCTTTGAAGAAAGTTCAACACCGGGCAACAAAAATCATCCCAGAACTATATGGACTCACATACCAGGAATGGTTGAGGAGTCACAGGGCTGCAAACTGCAGACTTTGCATGTGGGGCATAACAACCCACAACATAATTACCAAATTAATATTACCTTGCAGCAGATTGATGAAGAAAAGAAACTTGGAGTCAAAATACACAATTCATTGGAAGTTGCACAACAGGAAGGAGCAGCAGTATTAAGAAAAAAAATCAAATAATCAAGCGTACTTTGACTTTGAGGAAAAGAAGTAAGAGAAGTCAACTGCATAAATCTTTGGTGTGCCCCACTTGGATTATTGTATCCAAGCATGGAGACCTCATCTTCAGAAGGACATAGCTGCTCTGGAGAAAATACAACACTGGGCAACATAACTTTCCAGTATCAAGTCATCTCTCATACCAGGAAGGCTGAAGGCCTCTGGGCTAACAACGCTGCAAATCAGGCATGACAGGCCAGATCTCATAAAAACCTTTATAAATACTGAACACTTCGGAAGATGTAGATTCATTAGCTCCCTCGCCGATTCGTATTCATATTTTAATCATATCATTGTCTCAGTACAGTATTAGTACTTCTTGGGCCATGAATAATCTTTGGATTATTCTCATGGCTTCGTTTTGTAACTAGTTAAATCAATTAGTTTAATCTACCTTTACCAAAACAAGACATGACAGGGGCAGCACAATCAATAAGAGATCTCACAGTATGCCATGTGATTACCTCTGGAATGTGAAATGTAAAATAAGAATAATAATTGTGTAGTGTATGGGTTTGCGAGCCCCCTTGTAGGACCTTATATAGACGAGAGAAGAAATAGCCAATTAGCCTAAGCTACTCTATCCCTATCAGATGTACTTCCTTTTTCTCAATAAACTTACTTGAACTCGAAGGAGCAACATTTTCAAGCTCAACCACAATATAGGACAAAAAAACAGGTACTCTTTCATCCATAGGGATATCAACCCATGAAACCAACTACCCGCCGAAGCCTTGAATGCCAAAAATTCTTAAATTTTAAAATCCAGCTGGAAAAAATCATGAAGGCAAGTGAGGGGACCTTTGCGAAGCCGACCAAGTGAGGAGACCTTTGCGAAGCCGACCAAGTGAGGGGACCTTTGTGAAGCCGTCGGCTTCCAGTCCTCATCGAGGCCACTAGTGTTAGTGGCCCTCAGGTAAATTTAAATGGTCACACTGGAGGGGATGATCACACTACTGGGGATCGCTGTATACTCCTTCAGAGGATCATCACACTGCAGGGGACAACTGTATCCTCCTTCAGGAGATGGTCACATTGCAGGGAAGAACTGCATATTCCTTCAGTAGATAGACACTGCTGGGAACCCACTGTATATTCCTTCAGAATATGTTCACACTGCAGGAAACTACCATATACTCTTTCAGAAGATGTTCACACTGCAGGAAACTACCAAATACTCTTTCAGGAGATGTTCACACTGCAGGAAGCTACCATATACTCTTTCAGAAGATGTTCACACTGCAGGAAACTACCAAATACTCTTTCAGGAGATGTTCACACTGCAGGAAGCTACCATATACTCTTTCAGGAGATGTTCACACTGCAGGAAGCTACCATATACTCTTTCAGGAGATGTTCACACTGCAGGAAACTACCATATACTCCTTCAGATGTTCACACTGCAGGAAACTACCATATACTCTTTCAGGAGATGTTCACACTGCAGGAAACTACCATATACTCCTTCAGATGTTCACACTGCAGGAAACTACCATATACTCTTTCAGGAGATGTTCACACTGCAGGAAACTACCATATACTCCTTCAGATGTTCACACTGCAGGAAACTACCATATACTCCTTCAGTAGATGTTCACACTGTACACTACCTGCTACACTCCCGGAGAAGAGTTAATGAAGATAGACCTCCAGGGAGGGTGGAGCCGCCAAGACGTCCTCTCGCTACCGTGGTCAGCGACGATCTGAATGGCTCCCTGGGGCTGGGTGAGGCGCTGGGTCCTCTTGGGATATATCCCGTGCTGCGGTGACCGTTGACCTCCAACCCGGCTCCTCGTGGCCGATGTCCACGTGGTGGTTCGGGCAAATACTTAATCCTAACTTTCCCCGGAAATTTTAACACATTTGATTACTTCCTGTAATCCTGCTACTATAGCTTGAAGTTCAGTGTACTCCTTAATCAAGACTCCACATCCTGTCTTACCATCCCTAACTACTGACCCATCACAATATACATGTAGTGTTTTCTGTAGATAATTTTCCAATTATACAATAAAATGTTGCCCTCAGCTCTCCTAACTCAT